TTTCAGATACCCCAAAATTGCTGCTGTGTCTTTGGCTAGACCCCAGAATCTTGGGGCAAAGTTTACCAAGAAAGTAAACGGCCAAAAGTTAGGTATGTGGGAAACACACCCACAAACTACCTCAGGCTCAGCTATATAATTGGAGGCATGGCCTCTCTGGTTCCTGATTGAACTGCTTAATGGCCATGATTCCAGAGATTCAGAAACAAATCTTGAAACCCAGTGGCTTTTGGCAGAAATGCGTCCAGTCCCTGCAGTAGGTTACCGGTGCTGGGCCAACCCAGGTGGGAATAGGTTTCGTGCCTTGGCCTGTTCCCCCTGGCAGCCCAGTGGCCACCATCCTTCAGAGACCACTGGACAGTCAGGTCTGGGCCCGCAGTGACGAAACCTGTTGGGCCTCAAAGGATGGGGGTGGAGCCGGTCCTGGTCTCCCCATCCCAACGAGACAGCAAGTCATCGCCCATGAATGGCCTCTCTGGCTCCTGATTAAGCTGCTCAACAGCCATGATCCCAGAGACTCAGAAGCAAATCTTGAAACCCAGTGGCTTTTGGCAGAAATCCCTCCAGATTTAAGTGTTAAAATTTTGGACTTTCAAAATCACATGGCCCTACTGCAGCCACGCGACATCATATGTTATTCATAACCAGCAATAGAACACAAATTGTCTACTGTTGCCTTTTCAGCAGATCTGAGTGTTGGGGTAAAATCTCAAATAATAAAGTGGGTTTGGTGTCAAAATATTGAATGTAATCAAAGTAGAGAGAGAGTAATGTCGAAATCATCTGCCCCACAGGTAGGGGGAGGGTGTGGGATGGGGGTATACTGGGGTTTTTGGTGGTGGAGAATGGGCACTGGTGAAGGTACGGGTGTTTCATTGTATGAACAAGACTTAGACCCGAAAGCTTTGTAATTGCTCTCACGGTAATTCAATAAATAACATTATTAAAAAATGAAAAAAAAAATAAAAAAGATTCCTGGACAAAAATGAGAATGAGGACATAAGCTATCAGAACGTGTGAGACACAGCAAAAGCAGTCTTAAGAAGGAAAGGACCCACATAAATAACTTGATGAAATTGGAAAACTACCAAGAAAAGGAGAATAAAACAGATAGGAGGAAGGAAATAATACAACTTAAGGCAGACATTAATAATTGGAATCCCCCAAATAAACAATACAAAGGATTAATAAACCCAAGTTTTTTTTAAAATAAACAAGATTGACAAATCAATAGCAAAACTCACAAAGAGAGAAAACCCTAACTTATCAAATCATAAATGAAAGAAGGGGATGTCACAAGATCCAAAGGCTCTTCAGGGATTACTTTGAATATATTATTTTGAAATTACACAGAACAAGAGACCCTAAAGAAATGAAAACATTCTTAAACTCCAATAATCTCCCAAGGCTGAGCCAAAAAGATACGTAACACCTGAAACAGATTTATCACTATTGAAAAATTAAAATGATAATCAAAAGTCTTCCCAAGAAGAAAAGCACAGACCTAGATGGATTCACCAGTGAGTTCTTTCAACCCTTTAAACAAGAGCTCCTATCAATCCTCTGAAATCACTTTCAGGTAACTGAAGAAACAGAAACACTACCAAACTGTTCCTATGAAGAAAACACTACCCTGACACCAAAACCAGGCAGAGACAGACAATAAAAGGATTACAGACCAGTGTGCCTGATTAATACAAGATACAATGATCCTCAATAAAATATTTTCAAATAGAATCCAACAACACACTAAAAAGATCATATACCATGCCAAAGTGAGATTCATCCCAGGGATGCAAGGATGGTTTAACACATGCATTGCAATTAACATGATGCATCATATCAATATAAGACAAGACAAAATTCATATGATCTTGCTAACAGATACACAGAATGAATCTGACAAGATGCAGAACCCATTAATGATAAAAACATTTAATAAAATGAGGGATTGAAGGAACATTTTCCTTACAGTCAAAGCCTTTTACTACAACGTCACAACTAATATACTCAATGGTAAAAGTCTAAAAGTCTTCCCTCTAAGTAAAGGCACAAGAAAAGGTTGACCACTCTCACAACTTCTGTCCAGCAAAATAATTACTTGCCATCACAATTAGACAATAAAAACATATAAGGGTATCCAGATACCAAAGGAAGAATTCAAACACTTACTATTTTCAGATAACATGATACCATATTTAGAAAACCCTAGATACTCTTAAAATAGGTTTGAGAAACAATATACTTGTGTATTAAGCTGGCAGGCTACAAATTAACCAGCAAAAGCCAATGACTTTCTTATATACAAATAATAAAATAGAAGAGAAATTTAAAAAATCAGCCCCATTCACAACTGTGCCTTAGAAAATCAAGTACCTAGGAATCAGCCTAACAAAAGAGGTGAAAGACTTATACAAAGAGAACAATAAAGCACTACTAAGAGAAATAAAAGAGGACATGAGGAAATAGAAAAACATTTCCTGTTCATGGATTAGGAAGATTAACATTGTGTAAATGGCAATACTCTGGAAAGCATTATACAAATTCAGTACAATCCCTGAAAGGATACCATAATATTTTTCAAAGACACAGATGAAAAAAACTCTTGAAATTCAAATGAAAAAATACTCCCCTATCCTGTAATAGCCAAAGCAATCCATAGGAAAAAAGAAGATGGGAGGCATCACTTTCCACAACTTAAAACTGTACTGCAAAGCAGTAGTAATTTAAAGTGTGGCACTGGAATAAAGGACAGAGCCTCAGATCAATGGAACAGAATTGAAAATCCAGACCCTGGGGTATAATATAATCAATTAATCTTTGATATAGAACAACTGAGGCCTGTAAGAGAGTGCAACATACTGAGTAAATGCTTAGCATGCAGAAGGTTCACATTCAATCCCTGGTACTACATAGTTCCTGGGCACTTCTGGGAGTTACCAGAAGCACAGAAGACAAAAGTATTCCCTGTTCAGCACTGGGTGTGGCCCTTAAACTGAAAAATAATTAAAACTGTACAAATGGATGCAGTTTTAAGATTATAAATTATGAAAATATAGGACTAGATGTATCAATCTTATATCACCCTTCCTTAGTGCAGTCCAGAGATAATATTGTTGTTTAATATATAACTGTTTTCCCTACATGGAGCCAGAAAAGGAAAATATTAAATTATACTCCTTGATGGAGCTTTCATTAAATGTAAGCTTTTTGCTCCTACTCTACGTCAAATATGTCTGCTCTTATGCCTGTATAATTATTTGTGCATTAGTTCCTATGAAGGAAATACTTTTAAACTGTGGAATATAAATTCTTTTCAAATTTCAAAACAAAAGGTATAATAACAGTATTCAGAAAAACAATGTGATAAAAGTATTAATTCAGTGACAGGAGAAATAGCATAGTGGGAAAGATGATCACCTTGCACACAACTGATACTAGTTCCATCCCCTGCCCTCTTTATGGTCTCCTGAGCACTGCCCTGGATGATTCTTTACAAAACCAAAAGGCAAGCATAGCCAGATGACTCCCCAAAAGAAACAAATAAGAGGCACACTTTTTTCCCTTTTAAAAGGATGAGTTACAAAAAAGTAACACTTAAAAAAAAAAAAGACCTACTTCTGAGCCAATATGAAAGGGCATTTTTGCTGGGCTACCAAAATTTTCCAAAGTTACAAGTTCTTAGTTTATATCATTTGAAATTTAAAAAAATCTAATTTTACAATTAACTGGACTCTGTACCAGACTGTAGGGCAGGTGAGAGCCTTCCCTGCCCCAAGGGACCCAGCTCCGACAGTGGACCTCCTTTACCCAACCACCGCCACACTCCAGGCCACTTTCTGGATGCTCAGGCGGAGACACACAAATGAAAGAAGTCCTACAGAGCCTAGATAATGAGGAACTTCATGACCTTGGACTCTGGACTGAACAGGGCCTTGGAATAGAGATCCTCTGCCTGCTTCTCCCATTCTCCAGTTACTCAGGAATCACACCCATAAGTCTGCTAGCACCAGATAATCTCCTCACCCTCTAGAACTCAGGAAGCTCCTCCCAGAAGAGAGTATAAAATAAGGCTCCCAGAACCATGCCACTGGACTCTGCGCCAGGCTGTGGGGAGAGTGAGAGCCCTCGCCGCCCCACAGGACTCAGCCCCGGCAGCCAAGTTCTACTACCCAACCACCGCCATGCTCTAGGCCGCTTTCCAGACCACACCGCAAATAGTATAAGACACTTCATAGGATGCTTCCTACCCATTTTCCACTATTACTACACCATATCTGATAGGGTTCAGACAGTAGGCAACAAATCATAGAGAAAAATATATAAATATATGCCTCTCGGAGAGCCCGGCAAGCTACCGAGAGTATTTCGCCTACACGGGCAGAGCCTGGCAAGCTCCTCGTGGAGTATGATATGCCAAATACAGAGACGACAACAGGTCTCATTCCCCTGACCCTGAAAGAGCCTCCATTCATTGGGAAAAGACGAGTAAGAAGCTGCTAAAATCTCAGGGCTGTGAGGAATAGAGACGCTACTGGCACCCACTTGAGTAATTCGATGATCAACAGGATGACAGTGATACAGTGATACAATTATTTTATTCATTTAATTTTATATCCTGTTATATACTTTATTAATTTAAAGTGTTTCATATTTTCATATTAATATATACTTTCTGATTAAGTATAGGCCCTCCCGTTGATCGTCGATTTGCTCGAGCGGGCCCAGTAACGTCTCCATTGGAGACTTTGTTGTTACTGTGTTTGGCATATCGAATACTCTCGGTGGCTTGCCGGGCTCTCCGAGAGGGGCGGAGGAATCGAACTCGGGTCGGCCATGTTGGCCGCTTGTAAGGCAAACGCCCTACCCGCTGTGCTATATCTGATTATATGAACTTAAAGAATAATCTATTTTCAAGCAATTAAAAATTAGTTTCAAAAGATTTTTAACAAGATACTCTGAGATGAAATTTAGTTCTAGAAAATTTGAGAAAATCCTACCTCATCGGTGTTATAGATAATCTGGAGTCCTGAGGAAATCATTTCCACAAGGTAAAGGAGATAAAGAGAGACAGCATTTATCTGTAAACAGAGAATATTAAAAGGTTAAGACAACAAAAATATGTTTTGAAATTAAGTTAAAAATGTATTAGTCCTTCGCTTCAATAATGACATATAGAAACCATTTTCTTTCTTATGATAAAAAAAAGGAGCAGTGTACTTAATTCATAATAAAATTCCAGTTCTGTACATAAAAGTCCAAAGTTTCTTAAATCATTATGACGAGTAATACCTGATTACAAAAATGTTTGCATAAAATTCTTTTTTCTAAGATATATTTCCAAACTGTGGAGTGAGAACATTGGAATAGTTCTGCCTCACATGCAGCTATGTAGTATCAATCTAACTAAAATACATGTTCATACTGGTTTTTCTTGTTCTTTTTGATGTGGTGTGAGATGATAGCTCATAGTCATTATGAGTTGAATCTCCCTGACGATTAGTGATGTACAGCATTTTTTCATGTGCCTTTTGACTATCTGAATTTCTTCTTTGAGGAAGTTTCTGTCAATTTCTTCTTCCATTTTTTTAAATTAGGTTGGATTTTTTTTCTTGTAAATTCTCCCAGTACCTTATATATCTTGGATATTAACCCCTCACCAGATGGATATTGGGTAAATAATTTTTCCTGTTCCGTGGGTTGTCTCTGTATCTTGGTAACTGTTTCTCCTGAAGTGCTGAAGCTTCTTAATTTAATGTAGTCCCATTTGTTTATTTTGCTTCCAGTTGCTTGGTCACTGGTGTTTCATCTTTGAAGATGCCTTTAGCTTCAACGTCATGAAGGGTTTGGTTGATATTTTCCTGCAAATACCTTATGGACTCAGGTCTGATGCTGAGGCCTTTAATCTATTTCGATCTGACTTTTGTGGATGGAGTTATATAGAGGGTTGAATTCATTTTTTTACATGTACCTGCCCAGTTTTCCCAGCACCACTTGTAAGAACAAGTGGTGCTGGGAAAATGCTGGGAGAAAGGGATCCTTATTCATTGTTGGTACAAATGCTGACTGGAACAGTCATTTTGGAAAACCATATGGACATTCTTCAAAAAATAGAAACTGAGCTCCCATTTGACCCAGCAATATAACTTCTGTGAATATACCCTGGGGGTCTAAAAAACACATTAGAAATACCATCTGCACTTCTATGTTCATTGCAGCACTATTCACAATAGCCAGAATCTGGAAACAACATGAGTGCCTGAGAACAGATGACTGTATAAAGAAACTATGGCACATTTACACAGTGGACTACTATATAGCCACAAGGAAAAATGAAGCCATAAAATTTGCTTATAAATGTATGGACATGAAGACTATCATGCTGAGTGAAATGAGTCAGAAGGAAAGGAACAGACAGAATGATTGCACTCATTTGGGGGACATAGGAAAAGAAAACATAGTATGAGACCAATATCAAGGACAGAAGAAATAGGGGCCAGGAGGACTGATCAATGTTTGGAAGCTTGCCACAAGTGTTCATGGGGTGGAGGGCAGTTATGACAGAGAAGGGACCACTATGACAATAATAATTGAAAATGATCATTCTGGACAAGAATGCTGAAAGTAGGTAAAGGAATACACATGAAAACTGTCCGGTAACTGTATTGTAAACCGTAATGTTCAAAAAAAATGAGAGAGAAAGAGAGAGACAGAGACAGAGAGAGAGAGAGAGACACAGAGACAGAGACAGAGACAGAGACAGAGAAGAAAAGCGCCTGCCACAGAGACAGGTGGGAATAGGAGAAGGAGGGAAACTGGGACACTTCTGATGGGAAATGTACACTGGTAAAAGGACAGGTGTTAGAAAATTTTATGACTGAAATCCAATTGTGTGCAACTTTATGTATTGCATGGTGATTCAATAAAAAAATGCCGGATTTTCTGTTAAAAATATATATATATAAACAAAAATTATTTGGTAAGACATTAGAACTATGCCAGTACACCATAAACAATAAAAAGTACCTCCTGACTAGTTTTATTTTCAGGAAATGCAAAATTAATGTAAGAAACTATAGGGACATATAAATTTTTAATCATTACTATAGCATATAATTTGAAATATTTTTCTAAACAAATGAGTTTCCTAAACAAATTGTTTTCTTTTCATTTAGATGCATACATGATATAAACAAAAAATAAACCTATACCAATAATGTTCACTTTAACAAGATTCTCACAAAATTTTGAATGAGATGTGTGAATTGTCCAAAATGCAGTGAATAATAAATACTAAATCAGCAAAATCTTTGAAATATTATGTTAAATGAAAATTCACAAAGACCAAACGCTGCATGATATATTTACATGAAATGTATACAATTGGCTAATTCACAGAGAGATGGTGATGCTGGTGATTGCCTTGGGCTGGCCACTTACAGGAAGATGGGTAATAGCTGCCAATGAATAAAGGATTACTATAATGGATAATTAAAATGTTTTGAAACTTTTTATGGTAACATTGTACAACTTTGTGAGTATACAAAAAGTCATGGAATTAATTGTACACTTTAAATAGATGAATTCTCAATTATAAATTGATGAACATGTAGAGTATCACGCTGAATGAAATAAGTCAGAGGGAAAGGGACAGATATAGAATGATTGCGTTCATTTGTGGGATATAAAAAAAAAAAAAACATAGTATGAGACTAATAATACCCAAGAAGAGTTGAAATAAGGGTCAAGATTTCTCTGGGGTTGGAAGCTTCCCATAAGGGTAGGTGGGGAGGGAGAGGCAGTTAGGATAGAGAAGGGACCACTATGATAATGAGATTTCAAAATGATCACTCTGGAGAAGAACTGAGTGTTGAAAGCAAAGGGACAAACATGACAACCCATTAGTACCTGTATTGCACACCATAATGCCCAAAAGAATGAGAGAGACAGAGGCTGAGAGAGAAAGAAGAAAAGAGCCTACCATAGAGATAGGCTGGTAAGGAGCGGGGGATGGGGAGACAGGAAGGAAATTGGGGACACTGATGTTGAGAAATGTACACTGGTGAATAGATGGGTATTGGAACATTGTAAGACTGAAACCCAATCAATCAGGAACAACTTTGTAACTGTGTATCTCACGGTAATTCAATAATAAATAAATAAATAAATAAATAAACAGGTGAATTCTGTGTGTATGGGGGGAGGCTGGGAGAAACTCTGGGGGCCATATCAGTGGTTTGGGGGGCTGTTCCTGACTCTGTTCTTAGGAGTTATCCATGGCAGTATTCAGGGAATAATATGCTGTGCTGGGGATTCAAGTCGGGTTTTGGCTGTTGCAGCTACATCCAAGAATCTCCAATACTATCTGTCTAGCCTAAAGTAGGAGAATTCTATGTCTCATGAGTTACATCCCAATAAAGGTGTATAAGATAATTGATAAGAGTTGGAGTGATAATAGAGCAGAATGCAGCTTACCAGGGTTCTATCCCCAGCACCACATATTGTTCCTGGATCACCATTAGGAATATTCTAGCGCACAAAGCCAGGACTAAGTTCTGAGTGCCACCCAGTACGACACAAAAACTGAGAGGGTAGCCCTGTCCTTCCATTCTTCATTTATTTGCTTGAGTGGGCACCAGTAACATCTCCATTGTAAGATTTGTTATATCAAATATGCCACAAGGAGCTTGCCAGGCTTTGCCATGCAGGCAGGATACTCTGTAGCTTGCCAGGCTCTCCAAGAGGGACGGAGGAATCGAATGCAGGTCGGCCACGTGCAAGGCAAATGCCCTACCCACTATGCTATCACTCCAGCCCAAAAACAAGAACAAAAAAAAGTTAATAAATAGCAACATAAAGTTTTGAGTGATCTTTCTCAGAACATGGTTGTTAGAATATCAGTGATGTCGCTATACAGACAGTATCAACTAAACCTTTTCTTACAGTTCTGACACTAGTCTCCCAGAAAGCACTTTATAAAATAAATTTACTTTCCAGGACCAGAGATAGTACAGCAGGCAGGTTGTTTGCCTTGCACAAGCCCAACCAAGACTGGATCCCCAGCATCCTATATGGTCCTTGAAACACAGTCTGGGGGCTCATATAGTAATTCCTGAGAACAGAGTCAAAAGCAAACCCTGACCCCCAAAACAAAAACAAATCCATCCCAAACAAACTAAACACATTTTTATAGTAAACCAATTTACAATAATATCTCCAAGAGACCTCTGCTTTAACTTTCAGGACATTTTTGTGGGGAAAATGCCAGGAAGTCACAAATGAAAATGGGACTGACAAACAATAGATTGACAAGCAATCATTCAACATCTACTTTATGTTAAGTATTGAATTTAAATTCTGAAACATATAAATAAGTGTAGCACTGTAGTACTGTCCTCCCATTGTTCATCAGTTTGTTTGAGCGGTATCTGTCTTTGGACATTTAGGTTGTTTCCAGGCCTTAGATACTGTGAAGAGTGCTATACTGAATATAGGAAAAGTGAATGAAAGTAGAGGGTATCATGCTGAGTTACGTAAGCCAGAAGGAGAGGAACAGATACAAAATGATCTCTCATTATGTGGCATTTAAAAAAGTAAGGGCATAACAAATGGTCAAAGTCAACAGAACCTGTGAACTGGTCTAGAGACCTGAGTTTATCAAGCATTGGGGGTAGAGAGGAGGGGACTCTGAAACAATGGTGGAGAGAAGTAAACACTGGTGAAAAGTGTGGTGCTGGAAACCTGGTCACTGACTGTTGGAGTTCTCCCTGACACAATCCTTTCACCACTAGAGATTGCTGGGCCTGTAGGGAATGCACTAATCCTGACTTCTCCAAGGGTTGTTGTCAGGGAAACCTGACATTCTCTAAGTACACGTAGATTAACTGGCCTTGATTGCCAGCAGTTGATGGCTTGAGACAAGGGAAATAGACATCTTTGGGTGTCAGCATTACTTCAACCTTACCTCTGCCTTAGAGCTTCATAACACTTCCTTTAACACCTGCTCATTAGTGCACAGAGGCACATCCCCTCAGCCTCTATTTAACCATTGCCTTTTCCAATAAACATGTTATATGACTAAGAGTCTATGGTCCAGGCTTTGTCTCCGCTATGCTGAGTCTTGAGCATCCATTGTCCCTGACTCTAGGAATAGTCCTCCATATCCTAGGGTTCCCATGGTTACCAGATAACATGGTTACCAGATAACTACAAGTGACATTATTGTAAATCATGGTAAAAGAACTACATAACTCCTTTTAGTAGAAAGCAATAATACAATCCATCCAGTTACCTATCTTTGTTAGAAACTAAGAATTCAGTCAGATTCTGAGTTCAATCAATACAATCAGTTTAGCTTTAATAGCTAAGATTTATTGTCTCTGTTTCAAGATTGGTTTTCTACTTCTACCTTGAAAAAGTCTTTTTAAAACTCTAACCACAAATGTTTTATAATGTAGAACATAAACAAAGAAAAAGGAAATGTATAATTTTCTCTTTCTACCTGAAGATGACCATATTCCTCATAGGAAAGCATCTCATCTCCTGTATGCACATTGAAAATAGAGTGAAGACAAGTTGTTGGGCGTGGATCCTGTTTAAACTGCTGCACCTAGAATATTTTTTTAAAAAAATATTAATAAAATTCACATTCTCATTCAAAATAACTATTTTTAAGAAAAGTTTTAATAAAAAAACTATAATTAGGCAATGGATAAAAAATTACTTTTTCCAAAGAAATGATCACAACCTCGATCATCCTGTTGTTCACTGATTGCCTCAAGTAGGCCCCAGTAACGTCACCTTTGTCCTAGCCCTGAGATTTTAAAAAGTTCCATATTCAAGGCTCTTTCATTAATGTAACCTGCCCACACGGCAGAGTCTGGCAAACTCCCCATGGTGTACCCAATATGCCAAATACCAGTAACAATGATGGGTCTCATTCTCATTCCAAAGAAACAAAACAGACAAAACTAGAATCAAAATGATTGTTCAAAATGATTGTACTTAGCTGATATTTTATAAACAACACATGATGTTAACAAGGAGCATGTTAATGTAATAAAAATGGCTTACAAGTTTAGCAGTTTATTTTATATAATGGTTCACTTTGAGACAGAATTCCAGAAATTGTATCCTACTATGCTGCTATTTGGAAATTTTCACAAGATATTCAATGAAAAGTGCCTCAGGACTTCAAATGCTTATTATCCTTGAAATTTCATCTCAAAAACTTCTTCATTCATAAAATGACCTTCAAGTACCATCTAAAGCTTCATCCTCTAAAAGCAGGATGTTTATTCCTATCTTGTACTTTTTTATTGTTTATATCGCTCATTATCTTAAAAGATTCTAGAAATGCACTATCTAATATGGCAATCCTTATCTACATTTGACTAAGTTCAACTAAAATGAATATTTTAACTTTGGTCATATTAACATTTCAAGTTTTCTATGACCATAGTGGCTTCTGTATTGTTCAATATAGTAACACAGAACATTTCTACCATCTCAGAAAGTTTATTGGATATTACTATTCTGGAGGGCTAATATAGTTTTAAACCCCAAAGGGTCCACAAACAAATACTGCCCTCCATATGTTTAAAGTCAACAACAAGAAAAATGTTTTGAAACAGGGGGCTGGGGAGATAGTACAGTGGTTAGGGCACTTGCTTTTCAAGACACAAATCTGACTTTGATCCCTGAGAACCCAGATGATCTGTCAAACACTGTCAGCAGTGTTTCCTAATCACAGAGCCAGGAGTAAACCCTGAACACCTCCAGGTATGTCCCTCAAACAAACAAAACTCAGAAACTATCAGTAAGACACTAGCAACAAGAAAATGAGAATAAAGAAAGGTAAGCATGTCCTTTCCAAAGTAATCAAGACACAATGTTAACAAAGAAGGTGAGATGGCTATACCTTCTCAAAATCTGAAATTACTAGAAGTAGTCTCAGACTACCTAAATAGAAATAAGTGTAGTCAGTCTTTTCCATTGCCATGATTATTATCTCAAAGTATTAAACATGGTTTTTTTAATCTTATACAGAAAATAAGACTGGAGCAATAACACAGTGGGTAGGGCATTTGCCTTGCACGCAGTCAACCCAGATTTGATTCCTCCACCCCTCTGGAGAGCCCAGGAAGCTACCAAGAGTATCCTGCCCACAAGCAGAGCCTGGCAAGCGCCCCGTTGAGTTTCTGATATGCCAAAAACAGTAACAACAAGTTTCACAATGGAGATATTACTGGTGTCTGCTCGAGCAAATAGATGAATGGGAGGACAGTGCTACAGAAAATATAGTCAATTTTTTAAAAATACATTTTGTCCATTTAATAAGGATCTAAAAGTGGAGATTTTATCAGTTTAATAAAGTGCTGCATTTGGCTAGACATGTCATCTGTCTTCAAGATACACAAGTAACAGGCGTGAAAATTTCTATTCAATTATTGCATCAGGCGAAAAAGAACTACTAAATGATTAAAGCTGCCCAGATGGGGGAATTATATAACTTTGCTTTGAGTCTTAAAGCTGTTAAAAAAATTAAATTAAGGGGTGGGGGAAGACTCAAACTCTACAAGCTTTGAAAATTAATGGGGTGTATTATATTTGAATTGTACACAAAGAAACAATCAAGAATAAGAGGCCATTAATTAATATCCTATAGGAAGACTGGTATTGTCCAAGTAAAAATAAAGATAAAAAAGAAGCAATTTTTCTAAATTAAAAAGAAATTTAGAATATTTTCCTCCTTACATATTACTTAGGTTTTTTTCTCCTGAAAATTAAACACTGTGGATAGGTCATCATTTAGAAAAACGTAATACTTATAATCCATTCTTAATTTCTAAATTTAAAAGTTTTAAGTATAAAAAGTCTCATGAAAGAATTCTAGAATGAGTATATGTATTTTAAATGATTTTTAAAATTAGTAACAACTTTTGTATTTTAAACACTTTTTAAAGTAGAAATTTAAGGATAACAACATTCTTAGTCAATTGGAAAGCATATCTCTGAGCCTTTAGTTCAAACAACAAATGAGTTTACACATGTGCTCCACTTTAGTATAAGGAAACACCAAATATATATATATATATATAATATGTATAATTTAAATTAATTTATCTCTATTTTTTTTATAACAGGTGCTGTGGTGGTAGGGCACAGGGATCACTCCACATGATGGTCCCAATGGTATAGGCCTAATGGTTTGTTACTTCAGTTTGTAGGTATGGTAAGTGGGAAAGTGTTACTTGGAGGTTACCAGGGCCAATCCAGCAGTGCTCAGGAAGCCACCAGGGCCACAACCAGCAATGCTCAAGAGGACACCAGGATTATACCCAGTGGTGCACATGGAGTCAAGTAGTACTAGGACTGAACTCAGAGCCTCTCAAATACAAGATTCATAATTTACTATATAACCTATCTTCTGAGCCATACAAAAAATTCAAGTATAGTACGGACTCATGAATAAAGTAGTGGGCATCCAGAGAGGTGATAATATCCTGGGAAGCAGTGAACTGAGTGCATGGTACAAACTACCTTAGTTCCTCATGGTACAAACTACCTTAGTAATATCCTCCTTGTCAAACTTCACATTTGTGGTATATATGATCATCTGATCTTAATATGAGCTATATCTTCTCACAGCTCACACTTTTGCTTATGGATACCCTTGAAATGAACAAAATGCAAATTGTTTGTAACGTCATGAATTCAAGGGGCCAGAGCAACAGGATAGTGCATGTGGCCAATCTGGGTTCCATCCTGGGCATCCCACATGGTCCCCGAAGACATGCCAGGAGTGACCCTGAGTGCAGAGCAAGGAGTAAGCCTTGAGCACAATGGAGTGTGACCCAACAAAACAAAGAATTTGAGACAACTATATTCACATTCAAGTTATATTCAGAAGAAAATAAACTTGCAAAAACGGTTTAGGAAGAATGAATAATACTTAAGAAAGGACCAGAAATAATTGGCTAAGCAATATACAACAAAGCAAAAACTTTGTGCCACTTCCTATTTTTCCTAATAAACAATTCTAATTTTGGTTCTTAGCTTCTTTAGAAAACAGAAATTCATGGCTCTCACAATGTTTCCTTGAGAGTAGGGTAGCACTGACTATGTGACAAGTTAAAAATTAAACTTACAAGTCTCTAAAGAGTTTTCCTGATAGAGAATATTGAATGTGTGATATCAAAATATTTCTGAGGAAATTAAGTGAATCTGAGTAAACTCACTAAGAGAAAGCTTGCACTTAGTTTCCTTCAGGCTCTGCCCCGGGCAGTGTTTTCCTTTGCTGATAATGCTGTGATAAACCACAGCCATGAATATAATTATCTGCTAAACCACGTAAATTCTCCATAGTAAATCACAAAAAAGGGGAACCATAACATTACTACATAGACACAAAATTAACATAGTGGTACAATTAAGTAGGGAAAATAGCTCCTCATATTTGTATAGTGTTTTACAAGTTAAATTTTTTAATTACATTTTTTAAGGCACCATGATGTACAAAGTTTACATTGCTGAGTTCCAGGCATACAATACCAGTTCCACCATCAGCTTCAACTTCCCTCCACCACTGCCCCCAGGTTACTTTCTACCTCAAGCCTTTCTCCTTGACAGACACATTTAAAGTTTGGTAGTTGTAGCGCACCTTATGTGGTGTTATTGGTTTTGAGGTTTAGATATATAGATACACCGCATCTCTAGAGCTTTACAAGCTAAATGGTTTATGATGTACATCATTTTCTTTCATTTCCATAGTAACCCTGCAAAGTTTGCAGTTTTCTAATCTTCTAATTCCCTCTTTTTAACCTGTAAATGAAGAATTATATTTTTAAACTAAAATTTACTTTTGCTAGAGATTCATATGTCCAAAGTAATTTTGATAAAGATCTTAAGTAATACAATAGCAATTAGAATAAAGGATATTGTGATATTCCTGAGAAATTGAGTCTTTATCAAGCAAATACCAGATGTGAAATACAAAGTCAAGCCAAAATAACAATTCTCAGTCCCTTCTTGTTTAAGGTGTACCTTCAGTTTCAGGATTTCAAAACCATGGGCTGGGAAGGCACAGGCTATTTGAACCTAGCTAAACTGCCTCGATGTGGCTCTACTTTTGAAACATTCTTCTCCAGAAGATGCTATTGCTATATTGGTTCAAATTAATCCTTCGGAATGATGTTAGAATTTCAATCTACGATATAGTGTTTTACCTTATCGGCCTGACGCATATAGCAGTAGAGAATTCCTCTCATACATTTTATGGCTGAGTGTTCCAGCTCATGGGTCCTTCCCTTGTCATCATCAATACGCCTGGGTGAGAGAGATAACTCATGAAACAAATTGGAAATGCATTTGAAAAGGAAGCAGAGCTTTTGATAATTAAGTATTTAACTATCTGGCTAATCCTGTATTCTGGCATCATCTACAAATTCTGTTAGAGTAAAGCTCCATTTTCCTGGCAGACATAGTAATGCTGCAGTAAAAAGAAAAAAGTGTACCATGAAACTTGTGCATATTTCTCCTTAAAGAAATAAACCAATTTCTTTGAAAACAGCATATATTCATTTCCTTGCATATAAGGATACTTAAAACTTTTCCTTTAAACTTTAAATAATATTTTTATACAAAAAATTCTACTTTATTGAATTTATTGTTACAGAGTACAGGTAATTTTTAGTAACGATTCCTTCAGCTTATGCAATAGTAATTTAGATTCAAGAAAGCAGATTAAGATGGGCATGTACCTGCCTCATTTGCTCTGCCATGGTTTAATAATATCAGAGTGAAAGATCAGTCAACTATGCATTCAACTAAACACACATCTAGTTTGAAACGTAACATATCTGGAATTAAAGTTTTATATTTTGGGATTTTAAAAACAACTGATCATACTTTATATTTTAACTGTTAAAAAACAGCTAAAATTTAACTGTTAAGCTAGTCTAAAATATTCTGGGCTAAAGATGAGGTTCTGAGGTATATTTTAAATTTTGCATGTATAAGGCCCTTGTTTTGACTGCAATGCAGACATAAACACACACACACACACACACACACACACACACGCACACACACACACACTTTTCTGACCATAAGTTTAATTTTTTCATGGATCAGTAAAGGTGACTAAAGCTTACCACTACTAAAAAACATAACTTAGTTTATTCATTGTGTCATAAATCTTGGCTAAAATATCTAGCAATCAGCTTGAAAAGATAAAAAATATCACCTGTCTACTTTAAAATAGCATTGTATAATTAGCTCCTATTCCAATTGCAGATCTCATATGCTGCTACTAGGAAAAATGATGATCATTTTAACATATTAATGTCAGTAAAAAAGTAAGTTATTCATCATTACATAATTCCTCCTTTCATGTAGCACTGCATAAAACTAGTGTGATTTTGCTCTATTTGTCCCCCTGGAGTCAGGAACAAGAGTTTTAATAGAGGCAAATTATATCATGAATAACAGGAATCAGGCAATGGATACATAGAAGGAAGTATATAGTTGGAATATAATGAGCTCAATAAAATATTCTTCATCTAAAAAAAATAATGATTGTAAAAAGAATCAGGATATTTTAAAATCTTCTCAAGTCAGTGATATGGCTTAGCAAATGAGTACAGGTCTTGCCTCTGGCTTTGATCACAGCACAGAAATATAATAATGATGATGATAATAATAATAACAACAATAATAATTCTGTCTTTAACATAAACAAGCATTAAATCAAGACTAAAATACTCCAGGATAATCAGCCAATCAGACTCTATTTTAATAAATGTCTTCTGATTTTCTTTTCTTATGCAAGTAAAATAAAAACTGAGTATTTTTCATTTGACTGAGAAAAGGTTTAAGTAAATAACATTAGGTCATTTGGATATACTTACTACCTGGAAACCTGGAAAAGTCCTAAAGTTCTATCAAAAACTGACAATATATATCTATTCCCATAGGTAAATTGTATGGATGTAAACTCAAGATTTAACATAATCACTTTACTTTCTATTTGAACAATTACCTACAATTTTAACTTGAATTTTATATATGTATTGATAACAAATTATGTGCTAATTATTCTACAATATTAGGTATTTCATACAATTGTCTCGGAGAGCCCGGCAAGCTACCGAGAGTATTCGATATGCCAGACACAGTAACAACAAAGTCTCCAATGGAGACGTTACTGGGCCCGCTCGAGCAAATCGACGATCAACGGGAGGGCCTTTACCTTTACCTTCTATATTGTATATCTAAACCAGACTGCATGCTTAAAATATAAAACTATGGAAGAAATTAGACACTTGAATTCTGTCATTAGTATATTAGTTCCTTGAATTCTATCACTAGTACATTAGAAAACTTCAAGAAAACATAAAAATTTTATTTGATAGAAATAATCATGTAACATGACTATTTATCAGCATTAATCTGGGGCCTATATTCTATTTAATTCACCTAACGGCAATAAATTTGACACTGTGGTGGAACAGGTTGTTTCTTTGCATGAAGGTATCCTCTTCCCTTCCCCTCTGGACTGTGCTTCAATGCTTCCGCTTTTTCCTTAAATTATTGAAACAGTGTGATTTACAATACCTTTTTTTTTTTGAGGCCACACCTGGCAGTGCTCAAGGTCACTCCAGGATATGCACTATGGAACTACTCCTGGTGGTGCACAGCAGACCATATGGGTTGCAGAGATAAAATCCAGGTTGACTTCATGCAAGGTAAGCACTCTACCCACTATACTATCTCTCCAGTCAAAACTTACAGTACTTTTAATGATAAGGTTTCATGCATACAACCTTAGAATATCACACCCTCCACCAGAATATCCTCTACCCTCTGCCATTGTTTCAGAATCCCCTCACCCAAGCCACATACATTCCCACTCTTCATTCTGTAAACTAGTTTTCAGTTTCTAGTCTTTAGCATTTGTTATTCCCATACTATATTTCTTTATAGCGAAATTACTCCTAAAAGTATATGAAATAGAAATAGGCAAAAAATAACCTTTTAAGATCTCAATACACATACACAAATTCACACAAAGTCAAATAGAAGCAAAGTTTTCAGTAACTGTTGAAGACTTAAAAGTAAAGCAACTAGAGACACACAGATGAATCTCGGACCTGAGCAACTTGCGGCAAAGATGGCCCTGGACTTTGCAAAAGGCCTTCTCCACTGGGCTGCTCCAGACGGAGGCAGATGTTGTTCCTCTGCCTGCCCTCTAAGAGCTCCAGCGGTCGCCATCTTCTAGAAGCCAGCAACAAGCACCAGGTACGAGTTCATAGTGATGGCAAATCCCAAGTCTCTAGGGACAGGGGAGGAGTGGGCCCTCCTTCCTCCCACTCCATGGGACACTGAGATGATGTCACATCGGCCCACCGTCTACTTAAGCTCCCACGTGGCCACAATCCAGAGACATAAACAAATCTTGGATCCCAGCAACTTGCTGCAGCGATTTCTTCAGACCCTAATTATTAAAATCTTGAATTCCTTGATCATGCAGCCGCTCTTGCAGCCACGCGACATTATATTATATCCATAACAAGCAATACAAAACACATTGTCAGGAATTGCCTTCGACATGTATGAGGCGTGGTAGGAGTGGTCTTGAAATATCAAATGTAACTAAAGTAGAGAAAGTATATTTTGCAAATTGTCTGCCATACAGGCAGGGAGGAGGTGTGGAATGGGTGGGGGGAGAGGGGAGAATCTGGGGATTCTGGTGGTGGAAAGTGTGGAATGGTGAAGGAATGGGTATTTGATGACTGTATGATCAATGTTCAAACATGAGATTTTTTTTTACTGTACCTCATGGTGAATTAATAAAAAATTAAAAAAATAAAAATAAAATGAGCAATAAAATATTTTATTTTTTTAATATAAAAATGTAGGGCCGCTCGAGCAATAATTTTAAATGAATTCTTCCTAATCTGTATAATTTCATTTGTAAAATTTCCTAAGATAATTAGAAATAAAAAGTTTATAAATCTCAAAAAGAAATTTTCATGTAAACAAATCACCAACACTTAATATTTTGAAAGTAAAAAGGGCTTCAAAATTATTCTAGGATAACTACCTTTTTATTTCTCTAACTGGGATATACTTTCCTTGGTATTTAAAAAAAAATTTGTCACTTCAACTACAGAAAGTTGTATACTTTCCTTAGATGATGAAATAAAGAACATACTCTGCATTATGAACATTTTGTACTTTATAAACTTACCTAACAACTAGATTTAACAGCCCAATGTATTATAGTAAGAAAAACACTGTACTGAGAGAAAGAATAAAAGGAGCACTGATCCCAGCTCTATCATTAACTAGTTACGTAACTTTAAATAAATCTGTTAACTATTCTAGGACCTATTTCTTTCAGCTTTAAAATAGTCATTCTCCATGACTGAAAGTTACCTACTCAGTGAGAATGGCTAGTTCATTCTGCCATAAATTAGCGCTGTTTTACAAAACCTAGAGAAGAAAACTTTTTGTCCACAAAGTCTTAAAAATAGTCTCATGTGAACCCTTACACAAATAAAAAGAAGCCTAAATGGAGATGTGAGCAGTCACAAGTCACCAGTAAGATAGATCTCAGTCAACAAAATCCCATTACATATTAGTATCTAGGAGAGCACTCACACTAGCTTACCTGTATGCTAGAGCCAAAGCCCAAGCACCAGCAGCACAGTACAGACTGTCCTGGATCTTGGCCTTCTGATCATCACCACAAGTTTTAGTGGGAAAAAGACCTGTGGTTGGACTTTGATACAGCAGCAATGTTGCCTTAACTACAATTGAAGACAAGACAAGGAATAAATTTGCATAGCCATTCACTTCCTTTGAGAGTCCTTTTTGCTTTCTTCATCTCACATCAGACAACTTTGTTCTTTCTAAATTTAGCTAAAGCATAGAACTTTTGAAGATGTAAAAAACACTGTGTAAATCACTCCAGACTAATTAGCAATTCACATACATAAAGGGGCCCTTTCTACTTCTGAGGAAAGGACTCTGCTAATTAGCATCTTTAAAAAGCTTAACCTGGGCTAGAGCACATACATGCCTTGCATGCTGGGGAGCTGGTTGGATCCCCAATACTGCATGGTGCCCCCAGGACCACCAGGTTAGTACCAAAGCACAAGGGCTGGGGACTTCTGAATATCATCTGGTGTGGCACAAAAAAACAAAAACAAAATGAAGCCTTTAACGTTCTTCTCATGTTTGAATGTAACATCAAACACGGGAGAAAAAGATCAACCAAAATAAGGAATCATACTTTTCAACAAATCAGATCAACAGGGAACCATATACCAAATATACCAAAGAAGAGTGGAGTACGTTTGCAAATCCAAAGCTAACTCAAACTGCTCAAAGGCCAGAATCCTGTTTTTTATTTGTAACTCATCTGTAGCAGATCTTCAGAGGAATGTATTAATTTCACTTACTATATCTTATGTTAGGGATATAGTTAACTTTTTTTTTTTAACTAAATTACATCCTTATAGAAAATAAAAACAAAAACTAATTGTTTTGTAAACATTTTATTTAAATACAAGTCTGAAATTAGTGTCTTACTAAATATCTCTTATAAAAGAGACTAAAAGGGGCTCACATATGCCAAAGTGCTCTACTACTCAGTTACAAGATGGTTTTTCAAAACCAAAAATGGTTTTTCAAAGAACAAAAGCACTCTGTTCCTTTACAATTTATTAAAGATGTAATTTTCTTTTTCTTAACCTACACTGTCATTCTTTCATACTACCAGAATACAGCGGTAGGGCTTTCGCCTTACAAGCGGCCAACATGGCCGACCCGAGTTCGATTCCTGCGCCCCTCTCGGAGAGCCTGGCAAGCTACCGAGAGTATTCGATATGCCAGACACAGTAACAATAAAGTCTCCAATGGAGACGTTACTGGGCCCGCTCGAGCAAATCGACGATCAACGGGAGGGCCTTTTACCTTTTACCTTTACCAGAATACATATTAGTGAATCCAGAATTAAGAAATAATTCCAATAGTCAAAATTAAAATTTCCTTTAAAAGGCAGTTAAGGGGCTTGGGAAATAGTTCACGTGGCAGAATACATGCTGATAATATGTCCAAGGCAGGAGATTTATCTTCAGCATCACATATTCCACCTCAGGTGTAGGCCTGGTAGTACCCTAAGCACTGCTAGGCTTGCATTAAATTGTCATGCTTACAACAGTAAGCATGCTCACTGAAAGTGTGTCCTATAAATAAATGTATTGAGTTAATTAAATAAATACAAGTCTTCTTAACTGGTTGTTACTTCACAGATAATAAGGGGCAATATAAAATACACTGGAATGCTTCATATTCGTTTATTCACATTAAAACATAAAATATGCCAGACTCTTGAAATAAATAAATAAAATAATAAATAGGAACTTGATCTTAACATTATAAGGCTATATTCTCACTGAACTATAAACAGCTGTAAAAGTTTCAGAAATCCCTGTGAATTATAGGTAAGTGATCAAAGGACTTTAGGGAACTGAGCAAAGAATGGTTCTATAAAATCTTCAGAAAGAGTCTGAAGTTCCCAAATGTGGTAATGTCTGTGAAGGCTAAAAAGTTGGAAAGGATCCTGGCAATAGTTTAAAAATTATTCAACAGGCAGTTATAATTTACTGGATTCCTTTTATAGTCCCATAATCAATATGCAACTAGGAAACACTGCTGCATACACAGGAACTACACAAAATAAAAATGGGAGAACAACATGATCCATGCAAGTGTACAATATCACAAAAAAGAAGAACTAATCATAGCTACCTAAGGTCATATTTTCCTAAAATTTTGCTTACCAATTCTATAATAATGATCCAATTTATCCCACAGAGTTTCACTATCAGGTCTTGGAAGATTAATACTTTTAAGAGGTTCATAAACTGAGCCTAAAAGAAAAATAAAAACCTATTAAATTCAGTTATTTAAATCCAAACAATGACAATATCTATATAACTGAAGAAGCCCTACTGGTTTTCACTATTATATGTGAACTATCATATTTAGATATAAATTAGAAAACTTGTTGTAGAGATAAGAAAGCACCCTTGAAATAAATACAGAAAAGTTGTAATTATTATGGAACACTCCTACCCTCAACTCCAGCAATCAAAACAACTAATTTATGAATATGCTGGTCCTTACAATTCAAACATCAAAAATACTCATGGTGACCATTGGCTGAATAATTTCCATTTCTTTTCGAGAAATCCATCTATTTGTAAGCCCTGAAATCTAAACATTTTGCTATTACTCAGGCAAATTTGTTTTCTTCTTTTCTTTCTTTCTTTCCTTCCTTCCTTCCTTCCTTCCTTCCTTCCTTCCTTCCTTCCTTCCTTCCTTCTTTCCTTGCCTTCTTTTTTTTGTGTGTGTGTTTTGGTTTTTGGGCCTACACTCCTGGCTCTGCATGTGGCATCACTCCAATTGGGGATTAGGAGATCTTATATGGTATCTTACCCAAGTTAGCTGCATGCAAGGCAAGCACCCTATTCACTGTATTATAGTATTATTGCTGTGGCACTCAATCAGGCAATTTTCTATCACACCGACAAAACCCCAAAGAAAATACGTAATCTCACATGTCAAAATTCATCTACTCCACAAATATTCACCAAGTTAGTTTTTACTCTGGAAATTTGATCCCTACTTTTTCTTTGGTAGACAATACTCTCCCCTTCTTACCTGGACCATAAACAAAACCATTTCTATTTATCAGCTATGAAAATTACGTTATGGTAACACAACACAATAATCATAATAATTTTCCGTGAGATGGATACAGAAAATTGTTCACTTGACTAGTACATTTTCTCAACTATTGAGTGAAAGAAAGACATCTGAACCTTCAGTCATCAGACTACTCTCTTTCACTCTTGTTAAAAGCACTCAAAAATAATCAACATCTCAAGGTCACAACTAATCCACCTCCGCATTCAGGTAATGCATGCCATAATAGTCTAACAGCATCATGCAAGACTGAATCTATAATTTACTTGAGGAGAACTGTGGTACCATGCATTAAAAATCCTTTTATAAAAAATTCTTTTATAAAGAAAATTAATATATTTGTATCTGTAAAATTACTATTTCAAGTATTCCTTTATATTTAAGTAGGCAGTGAGCACTATGAAGTAAGAAAAAGATCTACTCATTCAATTCTACCATTATCTTCTGTTGGAAAGGAAGTTGATTTGTAGATAAAAACAGGAAATATGAAATGACTTGTTCTGAGTTAACAGACAGTCTTTAAAGAGTAGTCCTCAAAATACCATTGACCAGATGGCTCCTTGGTAAAGAATGGAATAATCTATCAAAATAGAAATGTATCATCAAGTCTCCCATACAGAAGGTAAGGGCTTACTCCTGCCCCCTGTTTCTGTGCATTCAGTAATCTATAAGCGTATGGCCAAGTATAAATATATAGGCAGTTTACTGAAATGGAGTAATATGCCTATTTTTTACATTTTAGAGGAGCACTCAAGAGGTCTATATTCTCAGAGAAATGTATTAGTAATTAATAAAATGACGTCATGCACAAATCAAAAATGTTTAATTAATTATGCATACATATGTACAAAACTTAAAGGAAACACACCTTTGCTGAGCTGGGAAGAATAATGGATATATAATCCTTCCAACTTGGGAAATAATGACAACTATTATTATTTAAACTCTTTTAGTGTAACTCCTATTTAAGTTGATACAAGAAAAATCACAAAAAGTTGTATACATATATATCATTTCAATAGGATAATATATACCATATAATAAAGTGTATATGTATGTACCGAGAGTATCTCGCCCACACAGCAGAGCCTGGCAAGCTCCCCATGATGTATTCGATATGCCAAACACAGTAACAACAAAGTCTCCAATGGAGACGTTACAGGCCCGCTAGAGCAAATCGATGAACAACGGGAGGACAGTGACAGTGATGTATATATACACATATATGGGCTGGAGTGACAGCCCAGCGGTAGGGCGATTGCCTTGCACGCAGCCGGCCCAGCCAAGCTGGGTTCGATTCCTCCCCCACTCTCGGAGAGCCCAGCAAGCTACCGAGAGTATCTCACCCTCACAGCAAAGCTTGGCAAGCTACCCATGACTTATTCAATATGCCAAAAACAGTAACAAGAAGTCTCATGATGGAGACGTTACTGGGCCCACTAAAGCAAATTGATGAACAGCGGAAGGACCGTGACCGTGTGATACACACACACACATATATATATATAACACAAATGTATTTAATAACTTATTAGACAATATCCAGTGTTGCTGATGCAGGGGATGGGGTAAAGTAACAGGAATACATCTATCAGTGCTTTGGTGGGCACTGCTGCGGATTAAACTCAGGGTCTTGCATATGCTTGGTATATATATACTACTTAAGGTATCTCTCTAACCCCGCAAAGTTTATTTTTTTAAAGTGCTACTACATTTAAAATGCCTTGCTCCCAAAACTGATTAGAAATTCTCTCTTCAATTTCTTAGTGAAATCACCAATGCAGTTTCTTAGAGGCAAAAATAAGCAAAAAAAAAAAAAAAAATTTAAAGAAAAATATTTAGTTAAAGCTAAAAGAAATGTTTCAGAGTATAAAAGTAAAATCATCTCATTTATTAAAAATCAAATTTTTAAGACTTCCTGTATCTTCAAAGAAAGCTTAAGATGTACAAGAAACAGATTGACTAAATAAATGTTAACATTTTAGTGACCAGCATTGTATTAGTATTGAAGGAGTGCCATAAAATTAAACAATGTTGTTCCACACAATTTATGATGAACAGTACAACAAATCTGAAGTTCAAGTAAAAGTAATCAATGGTAATGCATTAAACAAAAATTAGACAGCAGAAAATCATTAATATAAATAAAACTGTGACAGAGAAAATAATCAATAGAACAAAAATTTCCCAAACAATAAAACATAAAAATAACAGAAAACTTTAATAATCATTTATAGTTCAAATAAAAATACATTTTTACTTGGGGATGGGGGGAGGTGCTGGGCACACCCAGCAGAGCTCAGGGGACCAAGTGTATCATAATCAAATCCAGGCTGCAAAGTATGAGTTCCAGTCCTATAGCTTTCCCCCAGACACAGAAATATATTTAAAATGTAAATTTTTCCTTTAGATGTGCTTTTGTCTTTGAATTATGACTATACATAAACTTCACAAAATAAAATGAAGCTTCTTTGTTATCTACTTTTAAATGAATTTAAATGTATTAATCTGATTTTTGCTTGTAAATTTCCTTTGTACAGAAAAATGCAATCTACATCTTCATATCAGAATACATTAGTATCAAATAGATACACCAGCAAACAATACAATGGAAGTAGAAATTATTATTTATAGAAAAATATTAAGGCAGCTTTATCAAAAAGATAAAGGATAAAGGTTCGTATAGGGTTATTTAACTACAAGAAGATTAAAAGAGTTTCTTAAAATATTTTCATGACACAAAAAATATTAATAGTATAAATTTAATAAATAGAAGACCATGAATTTTTCACTATAAAATACCCAAGGAGGTTTCCATGGATCTCTATAAAACCAAAACTACAAACTTTTAAAACACTTAAAAGATGATACAACAGGAAATTCAAGGTGGAAAACATCAGTAAATCAAACAATAGTACTCTATTATTTTGGCATAATGCTACCTTGTATTATATGATTCAATGTTCTTAAATATACTTTTTAAAGTTACTGATCAAAATTCTGATGCCCTATGATTAGATTTATAATTTTCAATGTATGTGATAAAATAATATCCATATTTATTAATGTCTAAAATTATATATAAATGAACTGCACATATAAAAAGACACAAAGAACTACATATTATGAGAAAAGGTAAAATAATGTTTTGAATTACAAAACAAGGAATGATTCATGAATTCCTTAAAATAAAAGTAAAATCCATTTTTCCTGTGGAACTCAGAGAACGAAAAATTTAGCATTTGCAATCCCTATAACTGATATCCACTTCAAATAATAAACTAAGATAAAAATATACAAAGAACTAAAATCTGGGAGGGCAGGTAATCATAATAACATACCTAATACTTCTATTTATGAAACTTATATGTCTTATGAAACAAGATACTAAATAATAAAAATTTTGTGATATTCTAGGCAAAAAAATGTCTCGGCAAGAGAAGCATAAATGACAAAGTGCTAATGATAAATTTTATTAAAATTCTGAACCAAGCATGCCCTTTCAAAGGACGGAGAATTTTATGATAAACCTAAATCCTCAGAAAAGCCTCTACAATTCCAATTTTTAATAATGCACATAGAAATCACCAAAGGCAAATGACTAGTGGCTGTTACGTATTCCAGTATATTGTTTACAGTACACCTAACTTATTTGCTATTCCTGTCAGTGGATAAATACCTTAATTCCTGTTTGTCATAAAAAGTATTGCAAAAACATTCTCATTTATAAACAGCCTGAAGTGTGTAGGAGCCAACTAGCAACAACAGGGGCATCAACAGTAAAAATTTGGGGAAGTTCAGAAGTTGGTTATGAAATAGCCATTAACTGAAAATTAAATGGTAAAAAATAGAAAACAGGTAACTTTGGGAGTCCACATCCAGCTAGCGGTGCTCAGGGAGTACTACTGATCTGCGTTTAAGGGTCATTCCTGGTATGCTCAGCAGACCATAAGGGGTGCTAGGCATTGGACCTGGGTCATGTGTAAATAAGTCCATTACCCACTGTACTGTCTCTCCAGCCACTTAAACTAGATAATTATTTAAAGCAAATACTTTGCTAAAGAGTCATTTTTCTACTTTAGTTGTCTTAATATATTTTACTATTATACCTTGAGTTTATTTACATCAATATCAGTGTACTAGAAGCACTATATAGCTGCTT